ATCGCCGCCATTCTCATTGATGAACTTTTCTGAAAAAAATTTAATACGTTTTTAATTGAATGTTAAACTAAGAAAGGATAAGGGGAACTCATCATTTGAAGACTCGAATGCTCCACCGATTAGCGCAGCGGGTCCTGGATTGGATTTTCTTGTTTTACCGCATTGGTTTTATTTAATTTTTTCTTTTAATAATATATTTTAAAAAACGTAAACACGTCACTTACGATTGAAAAAATTTTATATTTACTACTTCATGTCGTTGGCATTTACATTTCATTTATAAGTTTAAGTTATTTATAAACATTCGCTCTCAAAACTTATTAAAGGTTTGTTTGAAAAAACTTTTAATAAGCTTAATATTAAAAATGCTTATTTAACGCTTATTATAGCAAACTTAATTTAAGTTATTTTTAAAAACGTTTACTGAAATGCTTGTTGGGACGTATACATTGAAATGCAAGTGTATTTGTACAGTGGCGCTACTTGTACACTTGTACAGTGGCCTGTACTGTACTGTATCGTCTGCTGAGTGGAAGATCGACCTATCTCGGCAGCCAGTTCGAAAACGCCCTACATTTTGAAGTGAGTAGGGCGTTTTTGAAATGAATTCTGAAATAGGGCGTTCTTCAGCCAAATTCTGAAGTAGGGCGTTCTTGAAAAGTTTTTTGAGATAGGGCGTTTTCGAACTGGCTGCCGAGATAGGTCGATCTTCCACTCAGCAGTCGGTATATAGTTGTTAATTAAGTACGAATGTATGTATGTGTGGACATAAAACACAAGTGAACACATGTATGTAGTTGGTAATTAACTATAAATTATGTACACATCGTTACCTTAATATGAGAAAGGCCTGATCTAACATCGTCGCTGAAATCCCAAATTCACTTTTTAATTGATTATAATGCATTACATTGTTTTACTCAAAAAAAGCTTAAACTAGTTAGGCTTTTTTCGTTTCAGCGACGATTTCAGATATNTTTACTCAAAAAAAGCTTAAACTAGTTAGGTTTTTTTCGTTTCAGCGACGATTTTAGATAGGGCCTTTTTCTATCAAGGCAACGATATATTTAAGTATTAAGAATTAACAGGTCTCTAGTAACTTATACATAGTATTTCATTTTTTAAATTCAAAAGCTAATACCTTGCAACACAAAGAAACTAAATCAAATTGGGTTGGACACTATGTAGTCCTTTAATTGGTCCCTTAAAGCAAATGCACTTCTTGCTGCATTATTGCAAGCCATGCGACCATGATTTCGTAACGGGGTTGAAACATCTTTTCTCCACAGACCATTTACAATTTCTTCGCCATTGTACTGGTCAACATAATCAGCGGGACAGTAACTCCCATCGTGGAACTTTACGAAGTTGTGGAGCAACACTGTCGTTTTCACAACTTTTTCTGCTGTTTGTGGGTGCATGAATAATGGTGATAGTAAAACTCTCCAGCGAGCGCAAAGAATGCCAAAAGAGTTTTCGATAACTCTTCGTGCTCGGGATAAACGCTTGTTAAATATTTCACGGTCAAGAGGCAAACTTGCTCCTAAAAGCAAAAAAGAAATACATAAACACTTACATGCATATGTAAATACATTGAAGTTCATATTTACAAACCCGGATATGGCCGCATAATACAATTTTTTAGCGGAAATGCAGCGTCCCCAACCATAAAATGAGGGAATTTAATGTTCGTTCCAGGCAGATAATCGTCCTCCGGTAAATCTAGTTTGTCATTCAATAGGCGCTGCCCAACATCAGAGTTCCATAGTACTCCGCCGTCACTTTGGGAACCATATGCCCCGATATCGACGGTCGTGAATGTATAGTTTGCATCGCAACTTGCCAAGAGTACTATGGAATAATGGCCCTTGTAATTATAATATAAAGAGCCGGAATTGGGGGGACATGATATCGCTATATGCTTTCCGTCCACCGCACCAACGCAGTTTGGAAAATTCCACATGGTGTTAAAATCAGTCGCAATACGCTTCCACTCGTGTTTTTTCGGAACTGACAGATAGATGCCCCCCAATTCCTGCCAAATTGCTTCACAAACTTCACTGATTATGGCAGCTACAGTGGAGCGGCCCATTTTAAAAGCCGTGGCAAGTGTTTGCCTGCTGTCCCCGTGTGCCAGATACCTATGTACATATATATTTATGTTGTGCAAAGATGTTTTATTCACTGAATACGTCAATGTTAAAAAAAGTCTGCATTTTGAGGATATCGACGGCCTGTTGGATGATTTTGTAAGACGTTGCTCCAGAAATTGGTGCAACAAGTCGAACACATCACAGGTCATCCGAACACTCTTCTTGAACTGCTCCGGATCGCGCTGATACATTTTTTCGAAAGTGGCAGCGAATAGGCCCGCATTGTCCCGATCCTGGTAAAGTTCCCTCACCCATACCCGCCGCCTTGAAATATTTTCCAAACACGTCAAGGCTTCATGCATTAATAGCACTATTAATAACAAGATATCTAAGATATCGTCCAAAAACATCCAGAATATTTATTTAAAACTTATAAAAATCACGTATGTATGTATATTTATGAAATTCAGTGCTACTTTCACGATAAACAAGAGAGTGTTGTCAAAGCGTTTATTGTGGCATCTCCTTTGCGTTTTTCGCTTTTCTGACAAAGTTACAAATGTCACGCAAAGCGACAAAGTTTTATCTGGCATCAGCTTTAATGTAATCAATTTTTTCTATTGTATTGTGTGCAGCTGATTTTGCTCAGCCTGCTTTAAGCATACTAATTTTTTTGATGTGCTCACCCCCTAGGATTGTTCTATAATGTTCTTTATTTTGAAAACAAAAAATATTTAGAGGTCTCTCAAAGCGCTCAAAATTTCTATGTATTTTATATGAGGAAAATCCCACTTTTCGTAGAAAAATAATACCCAATTATTTATTTAACGATTTTTTCATAGCAACTACATTTCATAGGTCCGCCAAAACTCCCAGAAAATGCCTGAAAATGTATGGTGGGGATAAATGAAAAATCTTTACTATTAAAAATTGGTTAAATAAACAGTTGGGTATTGTTACTAGAAGTCTCCTGAAGAGAATCTGAACGTAAAATATTGATTTTCAAGAATTCGGTACCATTTATACGAAAATTTGTTTCCTGGAAAACTTTGAGCGCTTTGAGCGACCTCTAATTTTTTTTTTAGTTCAAAATAAAAAATATGGGTATATTTTTTTGCGATATAGAACAATCGTAGGGGGTGAGAGCATAAAAATCCCGACTTTACTTGTTTTGGACCACCCTACTGTACATACATATATATGTATGTGGGCAAATCTAGAAAACAGGTAACCTTTGTGTTATTTAGCTTTATTTTTATTATTGTAAACTATATCAAGGTGGTTGCGTTTGGACACAATTCATAGACGTATACTTGCAGCCTAAAAAAAAATTGGATCAATTTGCTGCATAACTTTTGAATTATAGGTGTTTAAATTAAAAAAAATATATGAAAACAAGTGAATTTTTTATGCAACTTTTAAGAGAGGCACAATTAATTATGTCATAACTTTTGAAGCACACCATATACTTGTTTGAAATTGTATGTGTATTTTAGTACTACCCAGTGGGAATTAGGAGCACGTAATAATACCTTATTAGCAACTTACTCTTCACCTGGCAGTCATTGCCATTTCCCTGCCGAGCGTCCCTTACTTTTACAAAGGCATGGCCGCCTTATGTAATTAGGAATTTAGAATGTACATTTGGTATCAGACATACTTCTGAGCCGCTTTACAAAGTAAGTTACGTGTAATGCAGAGAAGTCGCTCGGTGTAGTTCGGCGCTTGGAGATAACTTCGGCTGCACGTTACTTTGCAACTGACAACGTAATGTGTCGTTGGAGGTATTAATTTTGTGCTTTACTAGTAGATGACATTGGCCATGATGACAATTTTGGTACTAAAAACTGAAAGAAAACATGGCTTACCTCGTAAGGTGCTTACCTATTTTCCCAGTGGGTATGTGTACACTTCATATGTAGTTAGTTGAAAAAGTGTGTAACTCTATTTTTCACAATTTTCAAAATTTTGGATTTATCGCGTATAGATTTTGAAGCGTTCCATGTTAAAAACTGTGTAAGTATGTATTGTATTCTACAAACAATTACTAATAATATGATACCTTAGCCAGAGGTGTGCTTTCAGAGTAAACTAGGGTAGCCAGATATTTTAGTGACATAATCAGTACAGCTGGGATAAAAAATCAGTACAAAGCCATAAAAATCAGCTCATTTCCAAGCGTCTGTTTCGTTTTTTCACAATATAATAGCGCATTAATTTAACAAAAAAAAAAACCTAGTAGAATTTAAAATACATATAGTATTATCAACATAACAGTTCATTAGTTTAAAACAAAACAAAGGTATTACTATGTACAGTTGTGTTCACAAAAATAGTAGTAAAATGTATTGACAAGTTTTGCAAATTTTTTCTTTCCTTACTTAAATTCAATTTTTTATTTATTTATTTATTTATTTATTTTTAGTCTACAGAAAAATGTTTTCTTACAGACAGTTGAGATAAAAAGATTTAGAATATTTAAGTATGTGTGATACATTACAGAGTGAAATAATTATAAATATTAACTTGTAAAGATAACAATGATATTCAATAGCAATTTGGGTAGCTGGCGAGGCCTTGTCTCCAGTCTACTTTTGTGTGCGGCGGGCGGAAAGACCTAGTTTCCGCTCCGCCCTGTTTACAGGCCGTTGATCATGGTCGGAAAGGCCGAGCTTCCGATCCATGTTCCCGTAGTCGTTACTTTGTAAGTGAGGCAGGCGGAAAGTCCTAGTTTCCGCTCCACGCTATAGACGAACTGTTGGGCGAGGTCGGAAAGGCCGAGTTTCCGATCCCTGCTCCTATTGTCCTACGCGGTCGCGGAAATATACGAAGCCGTTACAATTGTACTAAGCAGTCATAGATATTGTGTAATTTTTTCGTTCACGGTTGCAGATATTAGTTTATTTAGTTAACTTGTTGAGCAATGTTTTCTTTATTACAAAAAGCGATTCAGATATGTCGATGCAATCATAATGCTTGTTAAAATCTTGGCATAAACACCGAAAAGCATCATGCATTTCAAAGTTTGATTTACAAATACTCAACACAATAGGTTTAAAATGTCTCGTGGGTCTTGTAGGAATACAAAAATTTATCTCACTCAGTAAAAAGGGACTACTGACCATCCCGTTCATTAATTTAATTAAAAAAAGAACACCAAGCATCTCTCTACGACTCTAAAAATATAGTTAATTCTATAACAAAAACCATGTAAGTTGAAGTCTCAAACTTTCTAGAAAATTTACAAAAATATGAAAGATTTTAAAAAAGTTTCATCAAAATATCTAACATTTTGATCCGAATTTTTAAAACATTTGGAGTACGCAGTTTTGTAGGCCATTCAGTTACAATAGCAGACGAGATCGAGTCAGAATTTTTTTTGCATATTTTAAGCTTCAAATTGAATACACTTAGGTCTCTTTTAATGCGGATTTGAATTTACGAGTTTTCAAACCATTATTTCGCAGTAGCGATTTTGCTTTTTTGACAGTTTTTATTACTTTTTTCAGTGTGTAAAAGACAATGCTTCTAATAAAATTTTTTTATTGTATTCTTACATAATAATAATAATACTAGATTGGCGCTTACACATAAGTGGAGCTTCTCCTCCAATTTGTGGCGTGCGCCTTGATGTTGTCACACAAAGGGGAGGGACCTACAGTTTTACGCCGACTCCGAACGGCGATTGTATTTTTACGAGAAGCTGTTTTTCATGGCAGAAATACACTCGGAGGTTTGCCACTGCCTGGCGACCGCTGTTAAGAAAAAACCTTTTTTTTATGTATTCTTACATAATTCATGTATTTATTGTGTTATTTTTATTTTTTTTTTTTTTGTTAAAATACAGATAAAATTTTATTTATTTCATTAACGTTCGGTTATACATGAAATAATAAGTGTAGAAGTGTAGAAATAAATAGTTTTGTTGGTCAATAATGCCTCACAGAATTTTTTTATGCGGTTTTTTAGAATTTTTTACATGGAGTATCTGAATTTATGCGGTTTTTGAAAATGCTGTTTTTGTATGAAAGTAAAGAACTTTTTTATGCGGATTTTTTTATGCGGCTTTCTGAGGAACCCATGTACCACATAAAAAGAGACCTAAGTGTACATATTTAGTTGGTGTGCTTAATAAATTCAACATTCACAATAAAATGTTGACTGAAAGGTATAATACCGAATTTTCGCGAACTTCAAAAATCAAAGTTAATCTACATAATCATATCCAAGGGTCAGTAGTTTGCACCTTTTCCAAATTTTTAGAACTTAAATTACTCAAGAAGCACATAAGCAGCTAAGTCTGTTCCAGGTGCTTCACGATTTTCAGGTTTTTACAGAAAGTCTTTCCCGTTCCCTTCCATAGGGATTATTAATGGAAATCCTGTAAAACCTGCAGGTCGTGAGGTACCAGTTATTTTGCGAAATGCTAGGAAACGAAAGAATTTCAAGGTGACATCTTTTTAAAATTGGTTTAAATTTAATTAACACTGCATTTGCACGTTCAATAAATTGCTTTCAATCTGCTCACACGTATGAGTTGTCAAAAACCTCAAGTAAATGCCAATTATACCATTTCACCAAAATTTTTATTAAATGTAAAAATCAGTACAAACTCAGAAAATCAGTAGATTTTACGTACTGATTTCGGGTTCTTAAAAAACAAAAAAAAATCTGCACATGTACTGATCAAATCAGCGCATCTGGCCACCCTAGAATAAACCAACTTTTAAAGACAAAAAATTATGCGATCTTGCGTAATTTTTATTCCAAAACCATCTTAATTGAAGACACATTTGGAAAATACGAAGAAACGATCTAAATCTTTTTATAACTACTAGTCCTGATAACGTCACATGTACCTGTAAAATGCTTCAAAAAAAAAGTTCTCTAAAATTGTGTGAAAACCCTGACTTACTACTTTTAATGATGCTCCTTTGATCCTCAGAATATTTCGACCGTGGTATCGAAGCAACTTTTTTTCGACAAAGGTTCTGATAGTTGATTCTCCTTAATTGGAGCCTTCCAGGGGCGCACACAGGAAAATATTTTGGGAGGGGTTTATACTTCTGAAAATTCGCTTCAGATAATATGCTCTTTAAAATATATTTATGCAAGTTTTATGTACAGTATGTAATAAATAAATACACTTTTTAAAGTTTCATAAATTGCACTTTATTTACATAAAATTATCAAAGAACTCAAATATTTTTGACCGATTTAAAAAATCTTAATTCTGACTCAAAAAACTAACTCACAAGTCTAATTTAAGTATTTACTATTAAAACGTTAGAGGTTTGAATACTAAATTAACTGACTTATATTTAAAAGGCTTTGACTGCAGTTATAATATTATTTCCATTACTGAAACCTGGCTCAAACCTCATAATTTTAGCTCCGAAATTCTTCCAAATGAATATCAAATATACAGGAGCGACCGCGAGGACAGAATCGGCGGTGGTGTTCTTTTTGTGGTGCATTCGTCGATACCATCCGAGGAAGTTGGTGTTCCGGTCATTGAATACACCGAATTTAAATGTGTACGTGTACAGGCTGGTAAGAATTATGTTTATTTAACTCTTTGCTACATCCCTCCTAATTCTGCCATATCAGTATATACCAGGGTTGTAAAGAATATTCGCATTCGCAACTGCGGACCTTCCGCAATAATTTTAACATTCGCATTTTGCGAATGCGAATATTTTACAAGTGGGCCGATAAAA